GCTTGGCTTCCTGTTGTCCTAAAGGGTTGTAAAATATACCAAAATACTTGCCATGTCAAAACAAACATTTTGGTATACTTTACAAACCCGTAAGTCATCGGGAAGTTGAGATACAGTCGCTGAAGGTCGACTAGAGCGCGGAATCTGTAGTGCTACGAAATTGGCCAAGGCGGTGTAGTCGGAGGCGTTCACGCTATGAAAACCCGGGATGCGGGATGAGGGAGCAGAGCCGGAGCGGTTTTTGTTAATCCACGATTTTTCTTATAACCTGAACAACTTTTCCCTTCTATTTTTCTGAATTCCGGAGGGAAGTGACGTCTCCTGGAATCCGCCAGTTTGGCCGGGCAGTGGGACGGGCAAATGAACGGACAAATTTGGGCTTTTGTTCGGCCCGCGGGCACCCACGCCCTCCCGAGGATGACCCTTTTTGAGGCGAGAGAGAGAGAGGGAGAGAGAGACATGCACAATTTACACAGAAACGGATTCGATTCAGCGCAAAAAAACTCGAAACCAGTCGGAGGCGTTCCCAAAATGTCAGGCTGTCTGGTCATTTTGCTGGATTTTCCAAAATTCTAGGATTTCCCGATATTCCTAAAGAATCTCTGCTAGATGGGGTCTATCTCAGAGTCAGAGTATAAAAACCTAAAAACCTCAGGGATGATCGTTTTCTAAAAAATCCCTGCTAGCTTGCCTATAGTCGTCCTGTGCGAGAGAGCGAGAGGGAGAGAGAACGAGAGAGTGATGGATAGAGAGAAAGTGAGAGAGAAACGGGGAGAAAGATGGAGTGGCCAGAGAACGCTTGAGTGAGCTACAGAATGAGAGTTAGAGAGCGAGAGTGAGAGAGGGATCGAGATCTTTTGAGAGAGACCATGAAGGCGAGAGAGCGCTGGAGAGCTAGAGAGGGAGTGAGAGAGACAGAGAGATAGAGGTATCTAAGACAGAGAAAGAGAGAGAGAGAGAGAGAGAGAGAGAGAGAAAGAGAGAGAGTATCCAAACGGCTTACTAAAGAATCTCTGCTGGCTTGCCTGGCGCGTTTAAAAAGTTGGATCCGCGTACGGTACTTGGCATCCCGCCAACTCTTCAAAAATCCCAAATTTCCGGTTGTTTTGATAAAACTAAAAGTGGATGGGGGCACCGGAAAGAGGGTGAAGGGGGAGAAATGGGCCCGCGGGGGGGTAAAGTGTTATTTAAAATGGCAGCGGGGCCATCCGCTGGCCGGGCTAATGGGGTGTGATAATTCACACGGGAAGAGAGAGTGTGAGAGAGCGAGAGAGAGAGAGAGAGAGAGAGAGAGAGAGAGAGAGAGAGAAAGAGAGCGAGAGAGAGAAAGAGGGAGAGAGAGAAGGAGAGAGATAGGAATGCCCAGAGGGCACCTGTTTGTCTGCATTTCGGCATTCAGATTGATGACCTTCACACACTTTGGCCGTCGCCCTATGTGTGTGTGGATTCCTTGAGATTAAAATGAGGCTTAAGGCTGTTGGGAAGTCAAATTTTTGGCGGTTTAAAGGCTGGTATGTGGAATAATCAGAATTCTCAGTGTTTAAAACGCATGTATGATTTTCACCCCCGAAATCGTTTTTTGGAGTCTTTCCAACTTTTAAAGGGGTTTGGAAGCCCAGTACAGCACCTAAAAGTTGCAAAAAAGGAAACATTTCTGAAAAGTTGAAAGCGAGATGAGTTTGTGGCAAAGTCGCCTTTTTCGGTGCGCGCGAATTACATGTCGTAATGCCCTACCAGGCGCTCAATTCCTTGATCCTCGTGATTTTTGGGTCAATTTCGAAAATTGCAAAAGCTAAAATATTGAAAATGCCTGAGAATTCCATAAATGACATCAGAATTATAAATTTCTGGAATTTTTACGACGAAACAGGGACAAAAGAACAGGGTCTGACGCTCGACCAGACTTCGGTGGCCCTTTAAAAGACGGGGCGACCTAGGCTACTTTTAGGCTGTGACCGGTAGGCCATTTTACAGTGTCCTAAAAACCGGGTCCCTTGCATAAATTTAAAAGCAATGCATAAATTTTAGGTGTCGGGTGCAAAACCGGAATAAAATGCCGGAACTTCCGGAAATAGGTTGAAAAAACGTCTTGTGCTACCAAAAAACTTTAACAGCTTGCAAAAACCGGATTTTTTTAAATGCCACCCACACAAATTTCACGAAAAAAACGAATTGGCCCAGCAATCAAGCCGTATTTTTCCATTCGGGGGTGGGCGGTTGAAAAGCCCGGAAGGTCACTGGAGGCACATGCCTTTCCATGGCATTTCGATGACTAAAGAGACGAAAAAGAAGCGGAAAAAAAAGCCAGAAAAATTGGAGGCTTTTGGCGGGCTATAAACAATGGATAATTGCTGTCCTCAGCCACCCACCCTCACCTTCAATTCGACAGGTTCTACTGCCCTTTCTTGCGGAAACAATAACAATCTTCAGCGCAACGAAAAAACGGCATTTTGGCGGAATTTTGTCAGCATTTAAACCGTGCTCAAAAATGAACAATTTTTGAAAAATTCTAAATTTTTTAGAAAATCTATTTTTGGTTGGAGGTTCTCTTTGTAATTTAACTTTGAAAGCAGTCGGTTGGATGGCATAAGTGATTTTTAAGCAATTTTTATCCTGAATTTTTAAAGGTTCATAATTTTCTAAAAAAATAATTGATGGGGTGCAGCATTTTTAACTAATTTAGCTGTAGAAAAAGAGGTAAATTATATGATCATTACTCGTAATTATTAATTGCATGAATTAGTTTTTTAGTCATGTTAAGGCATTATCAACAATCCGATATTTGAAAAACGACCTTGCTGTTACCATCCCTTTCAATGCACGGCTTCAAAAGGAAACCCCAGAAAAAATCCTAATAAGAAAAAAAATTGATTTTACTATCATAAACCTAGTAAGCATAAGCTGATCAGTCAGCTGACGCAAACGGTAGCGCCGAGAAAAATCCCTTAAAGTACGTTGCGCTCCGCTAAACTTTTGACTTGATTGAGTGAGGGGGGGGGGGAGGAAAAGTTGATAAGAAACGTTGTTTTGCGCGTGTGTGGAAGCTTCCTCTCTCACTCACTCTCTCTCCCTCTCTCTCTCTCGCTTCAATGACGACAGCAACAGCAGCTACTTATTGGCTTAGCGGTTCCGCGATGCTCCTCGGCACGTGGGGGCTCTACGCTGCGGCTCCCCATCGCCCCCGTCTGGGTCATTAGTCTATGGCCCCGGGATTTCCTTGGGATGGCGTCTCTCTCTCTCTCTCTCTCTCTCTCTCTCTCTCTTTCCCTCTATCTCGCACTTGCTCTCTCGCTCTCTCTCAAGCTATTCGTCAATTTAGGCGGCAGCTTGGGCTGGCAAAGCTTGGGAACGTCGCCAAAGGTCTTGAAACTGACCACGAGGGTGGCATGGACTTTTTAAAGGGACCGGCAGGGCTTGACAATGGATTTTTGAACTTTTTCTGAGGGGATATACTGGTCTTGTCGCGACGCGCAACCCGCAACAGAATTGAATAAAATTTTGAAGGCCTGCGGAAACGTCATTTAAAGGGCACGTTCAGGGACCTTTTTTTGTGGCAAAAGCAAAGATTTTTGCCGCGGCCGGGGGGTCGAACCCGGGCCCCCGGCTCGGGAGGCGCGGATGGATACCAGTCAGCCACAGCTACAAACTGGCGAGGGGGCGAGGGACGCCCCAGGCTGCAAAGGAGGGGAATGGCATGTCACAGCACGGGCAGGCAGTGCGCGCGTCCATAGGGTGTACACGTTGGGACGAGTATACGGCCCCTCCCTGAACGTGCGCTTTAAAGGGACGGTGACGTCCAGAAATTCAACAAAGAAGCTCAATTAAATCTTGAAAAATACGAAAAATCCAGCGGATTTGACGAATTCTATTCCAAAGGTGCACAGAAATACGGTGTTTGCTGCAGAAACTTCCAGGCTGTACAGATGTTGTCAGAAGGCCATTCAGCACTTACTATCAACTGCTTCTTTGTTTACGGTATGAAAGGCGCGTGACACAATATACGATCTGATAATGGCTTCAGGTGTTTATTTGGAATGATTTGTTGAGGGCTTCCCCGATTATTCTCGAAGCGGAACCAGAAAAAGCTGTAAATAATGCTGGAAACAGCACAAAGCAGCGCGGATACCGTAGTCAAAGCTACGATATTCTGGAAACCCATAAGGCTGAGATTTTAAAGGAATATGGATGGCATAGGTCGACCCCCCTATAGCTTTTTGGCAATTAGCCAAGAGGGCAGAAAGCATGACCAGGCGAAAAGCGCAGGGTCCTCATTTTCCTTGCGTAATCGATTGACCTATGCCGTCTTCAAAGTTCCTAGGTCTCGCAGAGGATTTTATAATATTGATCGAATATACAGGGTGTCCCAAAAAAAACGACCCATCTGGCATTTCGCCGTGTTACATCCAATCGGTCCCAAATTTGGACCAGAGGTGTATCAGACCCTAAATAACAACAATCCTGACTTACAGCCCCATAGCTACAGTAGTTTTAAAGTTATAACGAAAATACTGTTTTTCCGGGACTTCTGAACAGTTTTATCGGCTATCTTTTTGGACTTTGCATCGATTTGCATCGACTTCCGGCTGCGAATCCCTAATTTCGCTTAAGAACTGGGGTAGTTTTGCGTTGTAAAAAACGCTTAAATTGAAGCTTATTTAATTAATTTTACTCTGGAAAAATTTCTTACGGTAAAGAAGGCCTACCGGATCATTTTCACTTAATGTTTCGGGGGTCTAATTCCACGAAAACCCTATGAAAAATGGAAAATAAAGTTTGTTTGTTCTATAACTCGAGAACGGCTGTAGCTACCGGGCTATAAGTCAGGATTGTTGTTATTTAGGATCTGATACACCTCTGGTCCAATTTTGGGGCCGATTGGATGTAACACGGCGAAATGTCAGATGGGTCGTTTTTTTTGGGACACCCTGTATTTAAGTCGTTTTTCCGAGGAAGTATACACTTTTTGAGCTTCGAAATGTTTCTGATCGGTCTCACTTTCAGAACACAAAACCCCAGAAAGTGCTACCAACCTGTATCCGGATGCTCATCCCATCGACGGACGGATGGTCGGGTAGCTGATCGTTGAGATGATGATCATCCTGGCTATCATGACTGCCCGGTCTTTCCTTCTTCTTCATCCGGAAGTGCTTCTGCACGAGGATCGCCGCATTGTAGAGCTGTTTGAAGTATTGGAACTGGAAAACAGAGCGATAAAATTTCTGCTTGAAAGATCAAGCTTCTTTGAAGTTTATCTATACTTTAAAGGACCATTCAAGCGCGAGAATCGACGCTTCGATACACTAGGGTAAACAACTACGTTAAGCTTCAAATTACGCATCATACTCCTGGGCCTTTTTAAAGTTCCTTAAAGTTAAACTTTTTTGTTTTTTAAAAAGTGTTTTTAAACCTTAAATTTTTTGTTTTTCGATGCGTTTTTAACTTTTTAAATTCTTGAAGGCCCGCAGAGATGCAAGTTACGTTTGGTTTTGGTTACCTTTAAAAAATAGGGAAACAGTATCCCAAAATTCCTGGTCATTTACGTTTTTCTCTCCGTTTCACTACTAATTTACAGCCAGATGTCCCAAACCCAATCTGCACGTATTTCTCGTATGCAAATTAGGCAGTCACCTTTACGAGCACATCCTCAAGCCACGGTATGCAAATTAGAAGGAGTTAACTGGACCTTCTGCTTCACATGTTTGTTATTGCTTTCTGGGCCGTCTCGTAAATGCTTGGTTCGCCGGGGAAAAAGCGGAAAAGCCGATCTACCTGGGCCATTTGAGCCCCAGCTCACTCTCTCTCTCCCCCTCTCTCTCTCTCTCTCTCTCTCTCGCTAGTGTAACCGCATGGTTAGAAAGCACACACACGCGCTTCAACACATCTGGGCAATTTGCCAAATAGTAGATGGCCCCCCGGCGCCCTGGTCCCGTTCACTTTTTCCGCGACGATCCTGGCGTACGGGGGAAGATATCATGTGTGGGGGTGGGGAATGGGATTGCCGGGCGGCATGTGATGGCGGCATGAGACAGCTGGATCGGGAATTTACGGTGTTTTTCGAAGCGGGGACCTTAGTAAAAAATATGCAAGATGAAGGCTAGAGTAAAAAGTACGTTACTGTCCGCTGCCGTACGCTACCGTACCCTAACGTACTCCAGCATCCATGAATTGTAGGGAAATCTATCATAACGCGATCCAACTACATCAAAGGCTATTAACTGTCTTTGAATTCGGGCATTCCACTCCGCCGTAGCCTACCGTACTCACACGTACTCAAACGTAATGTAACGTAGCGTACGATATGCTAGGATTGCAGTATACTTTATCGTAGCCCGATTTAATCTATCCTATCCAAGCTTAGCATAACATCTACCGTAGCACATACGTGCTTGAACGTACGGTACAGTACTCTGCCATTGCATACAATAAACTAACGTAAAGTATCGTAATTTTTCGTACTCAGAGGCATCATCTAGTATGCTATCGTAGCGTACCGTAACCCTCACAAAATAGTCAATAACCTCCTACTCTGTTGTGCTCTACAGCTCACTACCGTACTTTACGACCGCCCCTAGCTAAACGTACTCTGAAGGAGCGTACCGTACTTTATAACTCTGCCATGTACCCAATATGACTTGTAGAGGTTCATTCGTACCTAGTAGTACTCTATCTCTCTCACTCTCTCTATCTCTCGCTCTCGCTATCTATTTTTCTCTCGCGCTCTTTCTCGCGCTCTCTCACTTGCTATCTCTCCCTCTTTCTCTCTCCCACTCTCGCTCTCTCTTTCTCTCTCTCTCTCTCTCTCTCTCTCTCTCTCTCTCTCTCTCTCTACCTCGTAGGCGATTGTTTGCCAATCAGACCTCCACAAAGACACCGAAAACCTCCGCCCACGGGGCTGGGGGCGGATTTTTCTTGGCTTTGAGGACTAAAGATAGGCGCTTAGGGCGTCAATCAGTTGAGTGTTTGGTTTTTTTGGGGAATTTTCACGTTCTTGCTCCGTCACTACCGGCTTTTCCTGATTTGTTTGTTTTTTGGGAGGGCTGCTGTTCTGCAGGAGTGAAGCTGAAGTTCGGCCTGGGAGAGAGAGAGGGAGAGAGAGAGAGCGAGAGAGAGAGAGAGAGAGAGAGAGCGAGCGAATGAGAGAGATAGTGAACAAGAGCGAGAGAGAGGCATAGCGAGAAAGAGAGCGCTAATACTAGAGATACAGTGAGAGCGCGAGAGCGCGAGAGAGAGAGCGAAGGGTGAGGGAGGGAGAGAGAGCAACGACGAGAGACAGAGCTAGAAAACGATAAAAATAATCGGCAATAGACAGTGAGAGAGAGAGAGGAGAGAGTAAGAGAGAGTGGCATAACAGAGAGAGAGAGAGAGAGAGAGAGAGAGAGAGAGAGAGAGAGAGAGAGAGACAAATGGACCGAGTACGAGAGCGAGAGCGAGAGAGAGAAATAGAAAGAGAGAGCGAGAGATTATAGAAATAAAGACATCAAACTACGCCGCAGGACTATCGACAGTGCCCCCGGAGAAGCCTCCCCGAGCATTGACGTCAATTGGATGGTTTTGGAGAGTAGTGGAGTACTTGAGAGGGCAAAAGACGATGGGCTGTGACCCCAGAAGAAAACAAAAAGAGTACTCATCCTCCATTCCACACGGCCCGGCGACAAACATTGGGGGGAATTGTGTGGAACGGTTTTGGGAAAGCCCTGGGAAATCACGAAAAGCTGAATGGGTTTGGGATCAGGGTTAAGGGTTTTAAGGGGCTAGGAACCCAAATGTAATTGCCAAAACTGCCGATATATTTCAACTTAATATAAGCAGTCATAAGATTAATTTAATGCCATAAACTCGGCGAATTTTAAGCAGCTCAATTTACCGGGTTAACTCGATTCCAGGACCGGAAACAAAGGGCCAAGATGAAAGCTCAGTTCCGCATTAATTTAATCCTCTACCCTTTTTTGTTCGTTAAGTTTGCATAGGTTTAATTTTATAGTTTATTTTATTCATTTTTAAATATTTGTTACGACTTTCGGTGTGTTAAATTAGCTTGATGGCGTTCTTACTTTGCAGATTTTTCTGGCGTTACATAATTTACGGAATCGTTTTTACTTCGAAAAAATTAGTTTTTTAGCGTTTTTAAAGCTCTTTCTAGTTTTTGATTACTCACCGCTTTATATCGCCTGTAGAAGCTTTGAATCGTAATCGCAGCATTCCGCTCGGCTTCTGCGTGCGGCAAAACCAAGCTGGTTCGAGCTCTAACTCAATTTTAGCCGCATATTGCCATCAAAAACATACCTATATTCACGATAAGCCCTTTGTATCGTTTTTGCGGCCTCGTAGACATCACGCTGCTCACTTTCTAAAACCAAAAAGGTGAACAATTTTTGATTCAAAAATACCGGACAATCGCAGGTCTCCCAATTGCTGCTGCAGGGGTTCTGTAGCCGATCCACTGTTTAGGAACTCGCCCAGGTCTTTGGAGCTGAAAAAAAATATCATAAAAAGTTTCGCTTGGGCTCTCTCGCCCGTTCTCTGTCTCTCTCTCCCTCGCCCTCTCTCTCGATCTCTTTCACTCTCACTCTCTCCCTCTCTCGATCTCTCTCTCTCTATCTCGCTCTCTCTCGCTCTCTCTTTCCCTCTCCCACGCTCTCTCTCTCCCACACTCTCTCTCGCTCTCTCTCGCTCTCAGTCACTTACTTATCCAAATCAAAGCTCCCGGACTCGAAAGTTGTAGCTCTTGAAGATCGGAAAGACTCGCTGGCACAGGGGTAGAGGTGTGAATTACTCCTCCTAGGATACAAACTATGAAACGGCATATTTTTTATTGATCTAGGACCATAAATTTTCAATAAAGCTGGTAAAAATACGTTATTTTGAGCCTTACTTACCTAAACTGATTCTGCGCCACCTCGTGGCCCATCCCATCTTCTGAGGGCATCGTTTTTGAACTAAAATTCATCCGATTTTCACGATAAATTGATGAAAATGCTATAAGGCTGGTGTTCATACCTAAAACTGCTCTGATGCGACGTCGACGGTCCGAATTGGAGACTCATGCATTCCTCAAAGTCGGGCACGGTGAAGCCGGAGGTGTTGAACATTGGCGAGATGCCGGAGAAGGACAGGGCCATGTGCTGGAAAAGAAATCTAACTATTTTGTTCTCTTTCTCTCTCCCTCTTGCTCTCTCTATCTCTCGTCTTAAGTGTCGATGTATCGGTGCAACTTACCGTATCATCATCATGCGGTGAGTGGAGTTGATGTCTTAAGGAATGGTGGATTCCAATCCCATCTCCCTTGATCCGTTCAGGAAGTGCATCGATGATGTGCTGGGCCAATTGAGCCATTTTCTCGCGTACACAGTCGTTCACGAACACGCCGGGACTAAAAAAACAGCGTAGAAGTTCTCTGCTGGCCTGTTTCTAATCGAATTCCACAAAGTATCTTTGCTAGCATTCCCATCAATCCCCTCCAATTCCTCACAAAATCTCCGATAGCCTGCCCTTTCTACAATGCAAACTTGCTGACAAACCTGGTGACCGCGTCGAAGAGGTCGGCCATTTTTGGCGAGTCTGGGACATGAACATCGGCTGTGTCCATCGAGATTTCGACATGAATTGGCTGTTCGCACTCTTTCCAGCCGTCATCTTTCCGCTAAAGGGATGGTTATGATCGGTTTCTCTTGCTATCTCTCTCTCTCTGTCTCTCTCTGTCTCTCTCTCGCTCTTTCTCTCCTTACCTTCATCACGACGCTCCCCGTCGTCTCCAAGCTGCTCGAGTGCATCGGTGATCCAGTCGGTTTTGAGCCTTTCTAAAATAATTATTATTAATGGAGCTGGTCTCTAAACTACAAAATTTGGTTAAAAACCGAATAAAGAAACAAAAGATGGAATAAAACTACAGTACCCGATTGAGCTGTCTTCTCTCATCAGTGACGGTTTCTCCATTGGTGAAGACCCAAAGAGCAGTGGCGGCCATGTGCTCGGCGTCTTCAACGCCTTAAAATTCGTTTGCAGTTTTTTATAATTTTTACTACGCAAATTGAAATGTTAATTAATAGCCGTGTAGCTTAAAAATTTAAAAAGCTATATGTTTTGGGTATCTCACTTGTCGGGATGCCATTCGTATTCTTGTTCGCTTCCTCCGGGCGCGCGACCAGCTTGAAAATGGCTGGATCGGTCGTCAAATCGGAGGGCGTGCGGCCGCTGTAACGTTATCTTGATATTTCTTCTCGCTCTCACTCTCTCGCGCTCTCGCTCTCCCTCTCTCTCTCTCTCTCTCTCTCTCTCGCTCTCTCTTTTCCTCTTACCGGTCATCTAGTACATCAATGGCCGCTTGACAAGCGTTGACGATGGCCGAAACAGACGGAATATGTCCGGAGCGAACGGCTAGGTGAAGTGCTGTTGAACCTTCAGAGTCTCTCGCCAGCGGGTCGAGCTCCCGGGTGTACGGTAGGGATCGTCTGGAATGCATTTTCACAAAGCGTGGGTTTTGCTTTTAGCAAGCTCGATGTATTAAGAGTAGGTCGGTCAGCGAGTACTTGAGTAGTAACTTAGATTGCGGCTTCCAAGGCCCTTTAAAAGTGCAGAAAAAACCTACCTCCACCATAACAACCATTCCAAAAGCTTGTCGTAATCAAGGGCTGCGGCTAGGTGTAGAATCGTCCGAGAGGGAAGAAGCGGATGTGGTTGCAGTAGTAGTGGATTTGTCTAAAGATCCACTATTCAAGTAAAAAAAAATTGATGAAAATGAGCAAGCTGGGGCACAGTTAAGATACACTTCCCACGCACCATTTGATGCTGCAGCATCGACCGGGCCAACGAGAGAAATGTCTCCTCATTCAGGGCAGTGCTCGTCTAAATCGAAATTAAATTATTTTAGCTGAAAATGACAAATATGCCTGAAAATTCGACCCTGGCTGGCCGCTGAAAGCCGCCAAAAACAGCTGGAAGCGATCGACAAGGGCTTGGAGGTGAAGGGCTTCACTAAAAATTCAAAATAAAGCTGTTACCGTAAGCAAACTAAAGATATAGTTTGTTAAACTCACGTTTCATCTGATTTCTCCTCAAAATATGTAAATTCGAAGGGAGAAGAGACGATTTGCCCATCACAAAGCACTCGAATTGGCACCTTTCCGGATTCACGAGCTGACAAAACTGAGCTTAATTGTTCTAAAGGAAGCTGACCTGGAGGTATTCTCACGGACAGCACGCCAACTTGCAAGAGTTGTGCCGGCACTTTTCGATCACCAACTTGCACGGAATATTCATGTCCCTTCAGATACCAGCCGCCAATCACCAGGATTTTCGTGTCGCCCTAAATGTGGAAAGTTACGTACTGTACTTAACCGTACGGCCAGCGCGTACCGTATCCTACAGTGCGTATCACACCTGTGTACGCCCGATTTGCCATAAACTTTTCAATACTCACATTAATAGGAGCCCGGCTCGGTGTGACATCAGCGATCGGGGCATGCCAACATTCTCCGCTCGACGATGGGCCGTTGGAGCGTGATCTGGATGAGACTCCGGCTCGACTACGGTAATAGGACTGAAACGGAATTTTTAAAGGTATTTTAAGCCCCGAATTATACTCCTCAATTGCCTCGGTCTCGACAGCTACCCGCCACTGCAAAATACGCGCAAATTTGTTTTGTTATTTGCCGGAAGCCGCTGCCCTAGGGACGTTCTATCAACATTAAAATGTGTAATTTTGAGTTGCGCATTTTTGTCGAGACCTAGTGGCTTTTGTAGTCGATCTTTCAGTCCCTTAAAAATTACCGTTTCCCCATCATCGGCGCTTTCCAAGTGGGTGTCTCCGGAATGCGAGTGGTGCGAGTCGTCCCTACCGTATCTAGAAAACAGTAATATTAATTTTCGGAATTTCATGCAGCTCGACGCTTGATAAATGAGCATCCACAGTCAAATTTGCCTTCAGAAACCCTTTAAAAAATTGCTGGAAGCTACTTACCCGCTAGAATTGTCCATATGCGAAGCTGGGGCTGGGAGATGACCGTCCACTTTTCCGCAGTTGTTCACAATGTCTCCTGAATTTTAGGCGTTTTTTTTGTAGTGCTAGTTTAGACAAATTTGGTATATCTTCCGTCATAGCTTAATATTAACACATCAAAAACTAAAAAAAAATACCGATAAAATGCGGGTCGATCGAGTCGCTGAACGTCGATGGTTGACGTCGTAAAGCCACCGAGGAGAGGCCTGAATCAATCAAATTTTAGGAGGATTTTTGGCTCTCATTAATCCTTAATTTAAACGAATAAGATAGAAAATATAGCTAAATTGGTATAGTAAGAGTTTTAACGCTTAAAAAGCATATTTCCATTCGTAAAAATACCTTTCCGAAACGCCGACGAACAACTGTTTCTTCTCTCGAGGTGGGGGCCGGCGGGCGGCTAAAATATTCAGAATTTTGATGGGTTTTTTTAAATAGAAAAATTCTATTAAAATCTTTGGAGAAAATATTATTAAAAAACTGTATATTGAAAGCCTACCGATTGCAACCTGTCCCAAACCAATTGACATAGCGCTGCGATCTCTTGTTGGCCGGTCGTGGGAGTTACTAAAAAATATTTTAGGGAAATTATTCGCGGAGAGAAAGGGCGTGAGAGAAAGAGAGAGGGTGAGACAGTGAGAGAGGGAGAGAAAGAGAGAGAGGGAGAGCTCAAGCCAGAGAGTGAGAACGAGATTGAGACAGAAAGTGAACAAAAACAGAAAAAAGCGAGAGAATGAAAGTGAGAGATTTAGAGAACGAGAGCGAGAGATAAATCGAAAGGGAGAGAGAGAGACAGAGAGAAAGAGAGAGAGACAGAGAGAGAGACAAAGAGAGAGAGACAGAGAGAGAGAATGAGCGAGCGAGAGAACGAGAAAGTCACTCACAAATCGGTGCAAGCTGGGTCTGCAATTCCGCTTGCGTCGGCTTCAGTTGTGAAGCTCGGATGGTAGATGCTATCCGCTCCGAGAGAGAACGGTCTTCTAAAAAGGATACGTTAAAGGATGCGGCGCTTAAGATACAGGTAAAAGCCGCCAAAACTATAAAAATTGTCTTACCATGTCCTTTCTCTTCTTCCCTCGAGTTTAGATAGTGCACCAGGACCACCTCTGGGCTCTAAAAAACCAAGGAACAAATATTTTTAGAGAATGAGACAAAGCCAGAGAAATAGAGAGAGAGAGAGAGACAGAGAGACAGAGGAGAGGGAGAGAGAGAGAGAGAGAGAGAGAGAGAGTGAAACGTACCGAAGTCAACCAGTAGACCCTGCGATGGAAGCTAGGAAATACGGCCGAGTGCGCGTATTTGGCGGAGATTATTTCCTGCTTGTGGACCTGAAAAATGATGTTAAAGGTGCAAAAAGCCATAAATGTATCAAGAAGCTAAAAAACCTGCAGTTTTCAAGTCACTAACGCGCTAATACTTACCTTCAGCTTCATATGGTCTTCCCGGGTCTGCTTGGCCTCTCTTCGCCGTTTCCACAGGTAGCCGTCATTCTAAAATTATAATTTACGTTGCTGTGTAAGATTTTTGAAGTTTTTCAAGATTTTAGTGAGACAAAAAGCAGCTAAAATAATGAAAAGTCCGTACCGTGAAATAATTATCATTATAGCGCCGGAAAAGCAGCTGGCTGCCGGATGGAGGCCGTTCCCGGACCTGAAAATGCATAAATTACGGATAAACCATAGCATTTCTAGAATATTGAATTTTTAACAATAACAACAGCTTTATAGTATCGTTTTGACTTGCGTAACGATCAGAACTAAAATAAAGCTATATTCATACCTTGGTGCTGATCCATTCCGGATGCGCTGAAGCGGAGCAGAGCAGCTGGGCGACTTGCTAAAATAGTTCTTGAGCTACGGTTCTCTCACACTCTCTCTCGCTCTCTCTCTCACTCTCTCTCTCGCTCTCTCACACACTCTCTCACTCTCTCACTCTCTCTCGCTCTCTCACTCTCTCTCTCTCTCTCTCTCCAATAAAGCTTACCATATTGGTGTTCCATGTCTGCTTATTCCCCGGAAAATGATCGGTTTGCTGGATGCTGACGCTCACCGGGTTCATCTCGTCATGATTTCGAATAATTCCCTGAACGGAATGACATAATGTAAAAATAGAGAGTTAAAGTCAGAGGGCGAGAGAGAGCAAGGGAGACAGCGATAGAGAGAGCGAAACGCAGAGAGAGCGACATTGTGAAATCAATTTACATGTCGTAATATGAGAACTCAGGGTCCAGTCCGAGTTTAAATACGCTTGAAAATGCTATATTTGGTGCTGAAAACTATAAAGTGCTCAAAATTTGTTTAAAAGCGCAAAAAACTACAAATTTTTCAAACGAAATTACGGAGCTGTCCGGATAAAAATAGATAAATGGACAAGAAAAGTTTTTACAACCATATGGAACTCGTCAAATGAGTGAAATGCCCAAAGTCCAAATCTAAGAATACATTTTCATGGATTTGCCATGAAAAAGAGCCCAGCAACAAGTGAAAATATCTTCCAAAACAAATAAAATAGGGTAGAATAGAGTATAAAAATCGAAATCCCCAAAAGTGGGTGCTTTCAATTTCGATTTGGGCAGGGGAGGGGCGGATTTCCAGCTCTTGCCAACTTTTGCCTGAGGGGGGCCCGGGCAATGTGCCTCGAGGGGGGATATGGCAAATGTGAGTGGCGGAGAGAGAGAGAGAGAGAGAGAGAAGCCGAAAAGAGGCCTCCAGGGCCCCTTCTCTTCTTTTTCCGGCTTTTCCTGCTCGGCGGAGTGTCCCGGAATCTATCTCGCCCCGGCCTCTTTCCTAAGGTGTCGTATGTCTGCGTCTCTTGCATTGGCTCGCTCTCTCTCTTTCTTTCGCACTCTCCACGCAAACACATTTTCCGCTCTCTCCCTCTCTTGCCAGCCAGGTGTCGGGAACCGAGCCGCCCTGCGCAGCAAACAATCTCTCTCTCCTCTCTCCCTCTCTCTCTCTCTCTCTCTCTCTCTCTCTCTCTCTCTCTAACCCGCTCTCTCGCTTTTCTCTGCCCCAACCCCATTTCTCACCCCTCTCTCACTCTCTCTCTGCCGGTAGGCGACCGCCCCCAAACTTTCCCGGCGGGACCCAGCGCCCTTCAACCCTCGAATTTTGGCTTGGTTTTGGTGGCCTGATGCATTATCTTGATGCCTAGGATCGTATTTTTTGATTTACTGGTATGTTATAGGGATTGTGAAGTCAGAAATATTGAAAACCGGTTTATGAAGGTTGGCTAACCCTCAATTTTTCGTCTGAGAGCTCCTTTCCTTCAGACTTTCGAGATTACGCTTTTCTCTTAAGATAAAACTATCAAAAACCACTGTAATTTTGGACCGCTTTTAGATATATAATTATACTACGTTAATACGATTAGATATACAGAATTCTCTTCCTCGTTTAAAACTCTAAATTCGGACCTTCCGCTTTGAAAGCGACTTATGAGCACCAGCTTTAAAAACAGAATTTGCTAAAATAAGCAGAATTTTAATTCCTATAAGGTTTTTTATCAATTTAAAATTGAATATAATAAATTTTAGTTAAGGAAAACTGGAAGACATTAAATTCATTCGATCATTTTAAAGCCATTAAAAATATATCATGTTTTTTTCTTTCTTTGGGCGGTCGGCGAGAAATTGCCCGGAACGGTGGAAAGTCAATTTATTGAGGATCTATGTCTGTCCATTCGTCTTTTCCTCTGTCTGCCCCGAGGGTTGTAGACACAAGGTCATTCTTTTCATGAATATCCACCTCCGGCTCTTTCTTTCTCAGGCCGCTCTCTCTCCCTCTAACCTCCTTCAGCCGATCCTCCCACCTGTGCAGTCAAATCCCCTTATTTACAGCCGGAGGGGGATCCGTTTCGATCCGCTTCGATTTCCTAGGAAATCCTTTTTTTGTTGAAATCTTATAGTTTTTCGTTAAGCGAGAGAGAGAGAGAGAGAGAGAGAGAGGGAGAGTGGGAGAGAGAGAGGGAGAGAGAGAGCGAGAGCGAGGGCGACATAGAGAAAGAGAGAGAGAGAGAGAGAGAGAGAGAGAGACAGAGAGAGGGAGAGAGAGAGAGAGAGAGAGAGAGAGAGAGAGAGAGAGCGAGAGAGAGCGAGAGCGAGGGCAACAGAGAGAAAGAGAGCGAGAGAGAGAGAGAGAGTGAGAGAGCGAGATTTTATGTGAGAATTCGGTTTCGATTTCCGTGGCCCCCGTTTAAGCACCATCGATTTCTCTGCGATTCTAGAGCCAAGAAACCCTCCTCCTTGTGCCCCACTCCTTCCTGATGTCACACGAGATCCCCCACGTCCTATTTGTTTGCTTACCTAATGCATCCACACTCCACGGCCTAGTACCAGCTTCTCAAGTCGTTGCTGGCTTAGCCCGAGGCATACTACAGTAGCGGGGAAACGCACTAGAATTTGATTTTCGCATCGTTTTTAGCTTTGTTTCAAGCTTTTCGGGCTTCGCGTTGACTAATGTCTTGAGCCGCGTTTTTAGTGCTTTGTATGCTTATCTAAAGCGTACTTTCAAGGCATTGGCCTAAAAAGAATTTTCGAAAAAATTTTGTCCGAAATTTTTTTACTGAAAATAATAAAATCATTTTGATCCTTGCGGGATGATTGTTCTGAAGCGTAGTAGCTGTCGAGACCTAGTCGCTAGGAGGGTCGACTCTCCATTTGCCTGACTACCATAAAAGTACACCAAATCCGCGCAGTCCACCAAAAACGTGACCCAGCTCAATGACAAGCCCTCCAGCAAGCGAACAGTCCTTCCTGTGCGCGTTTGTCTTTTCCTCTATCTGTCTCTCCCTCCCCTCTCTCTCTCTCTCTCTCTCTCTCTCGCTCTCTCTTTCTCTCTCTCTTTCCCATCCGTTTGTCAACACTCTACACTAGCCCCTAGGGCACACAACAAGCCAACAATCTCTCTCTATATCTCTCTCTTTCTCTCTCTCTCTCTCTCTCTCTCTCTCTCTCTCTCTCTCTCTCTCTCTCTCTCGCTCTCTCCTCGTCATATTTGCTGATGTTCCGATTCGGGGGGTTGCTCTTCCTCCCAAGACGCGTGCCCGGACTAGCATAAGAAGACAAGATCTGCATTCACGGGCGCGCGCGCAATTATGCTAGTTTATGCTTTCTCTTTTTCTCTTACTATCTATCTCTCTCTCTCTCTCTCTCTCTCTCACTCATTTTCTCTCGGGGTCACTCTGCCTCTGTCTTACAGGCTTCATCTTGTCGATCCAGCGTTATTAGCATCAGATATCTCCCTCTCTCCTTCTCTCTCTCTCTCTCTCTCTCTCTCTCTCTCGCTCTCTCGCGCTCTCTATCTCACTTGCTATAACATTTAACTCGCAAAAATAAACGAAAATTTTGAGGTCGTGCTCCTTGGGGATGTCGCCCGATGTATTCGACATCGAGGAGGATCTGCGGGTACTATGCTTAGTATAATTTTAATTAGTTGTTGTAACAGCGTTTTAATAATTGATCATACTTACTAAAGTTTATGTGTTTCGAAGGGTATAAAAATTCGGTTTTCTAGAGAACCTCCACAGCGGCAACACGCTTCAGCAACGATCCGAGTCGTGAGCATGCTCAAAGACTGGACGAAACTTTGAAGGTAGGGAGTGAGAGTGAGAGAGAGAGAGAAAGGGAACCAGAGAGAAAGTGAGAGAGAGAGAGAGAGTGAGAGAGAGATAGAGATAATGAACCTGCTCTCAGTTGCTGATCTCGGCCACAAATGCCGTCCAACGAGTCGGAGGACTACGGCTGACAACAGCGACCTGTCTATCCGAATTACTACCACTCTGCCCGGTTCTGCTGACAAACCCTGATGTCGGTGATGGAACGCTGAAGCATCTGGCGCAGTTTTTGTATAATTTGGGTAAGCCAAAGCCTAGCGCTTTCTCTCTCCCTCTATGCGCTCTCTCTCTCACTCTCTCTCTCTCTCTCTCTCTCTCTCTCTATCTAATTCTCTGATATTTTAAGGTATACACAACGTCTCCCTCCGACGCTACATGAGCTCAGAATTGGAGCTTTGCGCATCGCTTTGGCAAGCTCTAAGAATTTCTCTGCGTGACCAGGCTGATCCGGACGTCTTGATGAGCTTGATCAAGCTGTTCCAGGTTGGTATGGCTTTTTGATTAACGCTAAATCGGCCAAAAAAGGTCCTTGCAATGCATTGTTAATTACCAAGATTTAAGCTTGTCATTTAGCTATTTTAAAGGGGCTAGAAAGCGCGAAAATCGACGCATGGGCTCACTAGGTTTAGACGGCTACACGATACTCTAAATGACAAGCATCAGACTCTTTCTCGAAAGCATCTTGAAAGACCTTTAGAAAGATTACGATCGGTCCAAATTCCAAAGCTCTCGCAAGGGTGATTTGGAGCGTCGGGTAGCTCTCTAGATCTAGCCACTCAAGGGATGGATTTTTGAGTTTCCTAGTCTCTTTAATTGTTTTTTCTAGGTGCTCACCTACGAGAATTGCGTCGTCCTGGGCCCGTGGGCCAATGATTTGATCTCGTTTTTGATCCAGGAAGTGTGGGTTAATCTGGAAGTATCGAAATTCGACATTTCAGAATCAGGGAACCTGAGCCCGAATGGTTGCCATTTGCCACTGCGATTCTCTGCAATCTTACCGTAAGATCGAAGAATGCTGGTGCGAGGATTAGGAAATCGGTACGTTCTGAGAAAATACTCCATCTATTTGTAAAGTATTGAGAATTACAGTATGCCACCGTATCCTCAAACCCTTCAAAAACGGTTTTTTTAGTCCAACTACCGTCCGTTTTCAAAGAAGCTGCTACACTTTCTTCAACACGATTCTCGATTGGTAGCTTACGGCCGAGTTTTCGAATTCTTTATTTTAGGTTGTCGTCTCCTGTCTCGTGCTCGTCGGCTACCTTGCGGTAAAGCTGCGAGATGTGGTGAGCTTTTATCTACTTTTCACCAACGTGTGCGTTGCGTGTCGTAGCCCATGTACGTAGCGTATCCGTTACATCTGCGTAACATGT